AAAGCTAGACGTACTCTGTGAAGGGTATTTTTCTAATAAAAATATAGGAAGAAAACAGCCTCCATTTCCAGGGAATTATCACAAACATAGGAAAATACAAGTTGCTAACAAACATTGTAGAGGCCCTGTGACAATGTTCTGTCACCTAAACAGTGGATATTGGTAGTTTTCTTGGAGCTGCTGCTAAAAGTGAGTTTGCATTTCACATTATTAGCCCCTAACCCCTTCTCCAACCAGACTTCAAAGAAATACAGGCAAAGATGAGGCTGAGAGCAAAGGAGGCTGTTCCTTACTGAGAGGCCCTCGAGCCACAGCACTGCTGGGGCCAGTGCTGATGGAGACCCGACAGGAAATGAGGAAAGTGGAGATGCACAAGCAGGGGAACCAGTATCTATTTCTGAGGGAACTTTGAGGGACAGAACCAGGATATGAAAGCCAAATTGCCAGTTTAGGGAATACATCACATTTTGGTTGAAATTATCTTTAAGGTAGAAGAAAAGAATACTAAGATTATATTGGCTATTTAAGGGTGGTGAATAAAAAGGCAATTAAAAACTAGATATTTACACACACACACACACACACACACACACACACACACACACACACACACACACACCATCCTGCCCTCTCGTCTGTATGGGGAGACAATGTATAATGAGATGATCACAGTATCGCCATTCTGAGAAGAAAGTCTACCTACATCAGAACTCTGACAGCCCTCCCGGGTCACTTGAAAATTTGAGTTCTGTTTTAATTGATCAAAGAGCATTAGTAAGGCTCCTGAAGCTGAAGAAAGAACAGGTAGTTGTCTAATGTTTACAAAAGGGAAAAAAGGAAAGTAGAAGTTAAGGTTCGGGGAAAGTATCCAGCAATTTACAGAAATAAATTGACGTCACTTTTCTGGTGGTACAAGGAGGTTCTGGGATCTTTCTTAGTGGGCTGCTTTTCCTAAATTTGGTCACATAAATATGTCAGGACATTATGACATTATGCTGCTTTAGCCTTGTTCAGTTCAAATATCCTGGAGCCAAGGATTCCTAATTTTGTTTGCCTGGTTTGTATATTTTAGTTTTTCTAAAAAAAAGGTTTAAAAAATGCACAGTCAGATCAACAGCCATGTGCCCACCATCTGTAATTAACTAATTTTGTTAATGTTTTGTTTAATTTGGTTCAGAACTTTATTTTCTAAAGAAATCTATAATTAATAATGAATTTTATATCCCTTATGAATCCCATTCTTTCCTCCTCTCCCCCCGCCCCATATCGAGGTGCAAGTAATTGTCATGATTTTAACTTTTTTAACCTTTTGTGGATCTTGGGCCCCCTTGAACTGAAAACCCATTTTCTGCCTCCCCTGCCCTTATCAAAGAAACATAAGCGCACACACACACACACACACACACACACACACACACAGGCCCTTAAGCTGTTGAAAGGGTTCTCAGACCCAAACACCCAGCTGGATCCTTTTGTAATTGAGACTCCAAATTGAAAACCCCTACTTGGGGAATCCTTTTCTTTGGAGAATCCCGTTAGCAATCAACAATAATAGGATCTGATCTGGGCAGCCCCATCTCCTCGCTGCTCTGGGGGCGGCTTTATGAAGCAGTAGGCATGCCCATTTGAGCAGTGTCACGTGTAAAGTTTGCACTGCGGGTCAATAGGCAGCCACTTTGCCTCTGCAGCAACCACGGTTCAATATTGCTGCAGACCCACAATATGAGATCCTTGACAGGGTTAAAATTACCCTTGCTTCCAGTAGCAGAACTTTAATTTGGTTCTGTCCATTGCCTGCTGTTAGAAATCATATTGATTTAATAGCAGAATAAAAATAGAACTCCTTTCCTCCTGCCTTATCTCAGTAGGGTACTTTATCATATGACTGTTTCTTAGAGAGCCATGGTGTACACAGAAGTGGTTCTGTTTCTCCATCAAGGCTCTTTTAAAGACAGAAGTCATTCACCACTCCACTTAGGTGATGTCAACCTCCCCACCACACCCTTAACTTTTTTTCCAGCTTTATTGAGGCATAACTAATATGCAATGAACATGTTTAAAGAGTACAATTTTAGTATCAACATATAAATACATCTGTGAAAGCACCACACAATCAAAATAATTAATAGATCCATCACCACTCAAAATTTCCAGGCAACTACTGATCTGCTTTTGTTATTATAAATTTGTTTGCATTTTCTACACTTTTTAATAAATAGAATCATATAGCATGTGCTCCTCTTTGGCCTCTTTCACTCAGCATCAGTATTTTCCTTTCCATCCATATTGTGTGTATCAATAAATTGTCGCCTTTTATTGATAAATAGTATTCCATCGTATGGATGTGCCATAATTTATAAACATGTTGATTGACATTTGGGTTGTATCTAGGTTTTGATTATTACAAATAAAGCTGCTAAGAATATTCTATATTGTTAAAGAACAAAAATTCGACCAAGTAAATTTGAAGATCTAATGGACTTTATTGAACAATTCACAAATGGAGCAGCATCCCACCTAGCAAATACAAGGGAGCTCCAAACAGTTGTTCAGAACTAAAGGGTTTTTTTATAAGCACACACTGGACAGGACAAGAAAGTTTCTGATTCTATTTATTTGGGTCCTCTCTCTTTGTTTCTTGATGAGTCTGGCTAAAGGTTCGTCGATCTTATTTATCTTTTCAAAGAATCAGCTCTTGGTTTCATTGATCTTTTGTATTGTTTTTTTAATCTCTGTCATTTATTTCTGTTCTTATCTTTATTATTTCCTTCCTTCTACTTACTCTGGGCTTTTCTTGTTGTTCTCTTTCTATTTTTTTTAAATTATAGGGTTAGATAGTTTATTTATTAATAATTTTTCTTGCTTTTTGAAGTAGACCTGTAGTGCTATGAACTTCCCTCTCAAGATTGCTTTCACAGTGTCCCATAGATTTTTGGTTGTTGTGTGTTCATTTTCATTTGTTTCCAGGAAGCTTTTGATTTCTTTCTTGATCTAATTGGTAACCCACTTATTGTTTAATAACATGCTATTTAGCCTCCATGTGTTTGAATGTTTTTGAGTGTTTTTACTGCAGTTGATTTCTAATTTCATGCCACTGTGATCCAAGAAGATACTTGATATGATTTCAATCTTCTTGAACTTGTGAAGACTTGTTTTGTGTCCTAACTTGTGCACTATCTTTGAGAATGACCCATGTGAAGAAGGTATATTCTGCAGCTTTGGGTGAAATGTTCTATAAAAGTCAATTAAATACATCTGATCTAGTGTGTCACTTAGATTCACTGTTTCCTTGTTGATTTTTTGTCTGAAAGATCTATCCAGTGAAGTCAGTGGGGTGTTAAAGTCCCCTACTATCACTATATTGCTGTCGATCTCTCCCTTAAAGTCCTCTAGAAGTTTTTTTTTTATATATATTTAAGTGCTCCTATATTGGGTGCATATATGTTTACCAGGTTATATCAATCCCTTTAGTATTATGTAGTGACCTTTATTGTCTCTTGTGATGGCCTTCATTTTGAAGTCTATTTTGTCAGATATGAGTATTGCTACCCCAGCTTTTTTTCATTCCCCTTTGCATGAAAATTTTTTTCCACCCCTTCACTCTCATCCTGTGTGAATCTTTTGTTCTGAATTATATATTAAATTATATATCTCTATACAGTCTTATCACAACTCTATAACAAAAGAACTGTTATGGTCACTTAATTGGTAAATAAAGTTTAGAGAGAAGATAAGTAATTGGACCAAGGTTACACAGGCACGTTGACTCCAGAACCTACATATAACTAAATTGGTTTCCCATGGCTGTGTTAGAAAGCAAAAAGCACTTACCCCTTCTCTCCACCTCTCCATGGTTCTAATGTTGTTTTGGAACTGGTCTAGGAAGCCACCATATTAGGAATTATTCCAACAGTGTGTTGGTGTCTTTTTCCCTCATCCATTCATCTGTTCACTTCTTCACAAGTCTGTACTGAGTTCGTAATTTCTTCATGGTGATATGTGTCGATCCTAGGGTGAGAAAATGAGGATAATGGAATAGCTAAAATCATAGTGCAGCAGCAAATATAAAATTTAAAAGATTATAAGAGGAAGAAGGGTGGGAATAGAGGCATGTGAGGTGTTGTTCTAAAACCTTTGACAAATCAGTTTGAGTATGTAAGCAATGTCTTCTATGTGCTGGTATGTTTGAGCTGGTCAAAACACAACCCCATTAACTCCCCAGCCCCAGATTTTTATCATGTTTCTTTTATGGTATGAAAGGGTTTGGCCAGGGTCCAAAGGCATCTTTTCCAGACTCCTGAGAATGAGTATGATTCCTGGCTGGGTGAAAGAGGGAATGGGACTCCAAGAAGGGAATTAACATTCAGTGAACTCCTACGGGGTCTCATTGTGCAAGGTACTTCCCATGTGTTACTGCATTTGAACTTTATGGTAGCCCTGAGGGGCAGCATTACCTCAGTGTTACAGATAAGAAAATGTGTTCTGAGGGGTTTATTAATCCACCCAGTGACTGTTCCTTTGGAACAACCCTCCTGATCAGTTGGCTGCTGAGGCTCTCTTGGCGATTTTATCTCCAAGATCCCACCTGAGTCATACATTTCTCTTTCTGGTTCCACACTGGCTGTTTTCTCACAAGTACCAGCTGACCCAGAGCCTCCTGCTTTTGTGTTCACTCAGAGTGTGCTTAGGTAGCACTGGGTAATTTTCAGGTGCATGTATTTATTTTGTGTACAAGTAAAAGTGCATATATAAGACAATGACAGTATAAATAAAAGGCAAATAAGAATTTTTTTCTCTCATATAATCTTAAGGGAGTATATCAAAAGGGACTTTAGAGAAACCCCTGGCTCCCAACTTTTCATTTTCCCCAAAATTCTGAAGTCACTTGGTGGCAAAGTTACAACCTAAAACCAGGATGTCCAGCTGTGTCCACCAGTGAGGGTGCTTCCTGTCAATGGTTGCCATCCTCCTCATGCACGTGGCTTGTTCTTCACCCACAGGTTCTTCAGAAACCAACCCCGGAACTCAAGCACCAGCTGGCTGCTCTCTCCAAGCGAGTCGCTGGTGCCGTGACTGAGCTCATTCAGGCAGCAGAAGCCATGAAAGGTAGGTGGCATCCTCTCGTGTCCTTTCTGGGGCACCACTCCATGGCAGAGCTAGTACAGCGAACTGAGCAGAGAAAACACACAGCCACACAGGCCGTTTCTCGGCATATGCAGTCAGAAGGAATATAGGGAAGTGCTTTTCCTTAAAAAATCAAACGGCCCTAACCGGTTTGGCTCAGTGGATAGAGCATCGGCCTGCGGACTCAAGGGTCCCAGGTTCGATTCCGGTCAAGGGCATGTACCTTGGTTGCGGGCACATCCCCAGTAGGGAGTGTGCAGGAGGCAGTGGATCGATATTTCTCTCTCATCGATGTTTTTAACTCTCTATCTCTCTCCCTTCCTCTCTGTAAAAAATCAATAAAATATATTTTTTTAAAAATCAAACGGGAATAGAGTTAGATCTAAAAAGTAATGTCCTCCTGAAGCAAATCTTTTCTCCAGTCTTTATATTAAGGACTTCTACTTCAATGGCATATCCATCTAGAACTGCCCACTTCTCTTTTAAGGGTCTGGCCACACCCTAAAGACTCCATAAAAAAAGGGGGGGGGGTCTGGCCACTTATTTTCATTTGTGTTTTCATTTATCAGAATATTTATTCTTATTTAAATAATACCCTTCATGTTTAAAAAACAGTGCAATTTGGGTACTTTGTTGGCAGACCCCTTCATGGTTCCATAGAAGCAATCAACTCACCAGGGAGAGGTTTTCTCTCCAGTTTCCCTTTGATTGATTTGAGGTGAGTGCCCAGGAGAAGAGCGGAGTAAATCTTTGTGCTCAGCCCAGTCTCGAGTCTCCTGAGGATGCCTGCTTACAGTCTTGGCCCTGAGTTAGAAGTCAGAGTCATGTTCATGCTGGCCATGTCCGTGAGATCTTGATTTTGAAACTGTTACTAATGACACTGCTCCTGTGGTAGGGCTGTGCCCACAACTGAGTGAGAAAAGCAGGATCAGGCAGACATCCCTCTGCACCCAGCTGATCTCTGAGAACTCGGGGGTGCTTCCTTAGGACAGTGCAGCTGGTAGGCTCAAGGAACTTCTCTGCATGAAAATCCAGATATTGTTTGTAATTAAGCCAAAGCCCTGAGGTCTGCGGCTACCATGACTGACCCTCTTTGGACTGATTTTAGGAACAGAGTGGGTGGATCCAGAAGACCCAACCGTCATTGCAGAAACAGAATTACTGGGGGCTGCAGCATCCATTGAGGCTGCTGCCAAGAAGTTAGAGCAACTGAAGCCAAGAGCAAAGCCAAAAGTGAGTGTCCGTGGGTGGCTGCTTGTCTGATGCCAGTAGGTCTCCAGGTGGACGGCTGTGACATGAAGCTGGGAGTGCTGCAGGGAGCGTGTCTTATTCCGAGTGGTTAGCCTAGCGAGCTGCAAACCTGCTCTGCCTGCCCAGCATCTTTCAACAGGGCACGGGAAAAACCCAGTGGGTGAGACTTTCAGGTTAACCAGCCAGAAAAATACCTTGGGGTATCCAGAGGCGGAATCGGGCATTTACAGTCTTGATTTAGTTCCATTATATGTAAAGCAGGTGTCGGATGCTTCCTAAAGAAGGTCCTATGACTGAATGTGAGGTTGTCACCCTCCGAATTTCCGGTTGCCATGCCTTTCACTCTCCTTTTCTTAAAATTAAAAGCGGGCCATGTGAATCTCAAGAGTGCACCCAATAATCACCTTTTCAGTAGATACTGGAGACAGTGATTGGATGGTGTGTTTTCTCCAGCCATACCTGTCGTCTAGATAAATGTTTAGAACTTAAGATCATTAGTTTATGTTAAGAGAAACAGCAATTAAAGGAAAGAAAGGCTTTAAGTTTGGGCGGTAGGGAGGATAATTATTAAGTAAAAAGGATGGTGAGCCCAACCCTGTTAAGAAGCTGTAACCTCCCACCAGCCCCCATGGCTATCTCCACTGAGAAGGTAGTAGAACCAGAGGAGGCCTCTTTTTTTTTGTTTTTGGTCTATTCAACCAAGTCCTTTCTGGTACCTGTAACCTCACTTCCCTTCCAAGGACCCAAATACATTCGGAAATAAAATCTAATTCTTCCCCTCAAAAAACGTTGGATCCCTCAGTTTAGTTATGCCTAAAATTCTACATTTTTTGTAAGAGCAAAAGATGGAATCTGGGCACTTGGAATACACCAAATCGCTCAAAAGCGGTGCCTGGATCAGTGCTGTGTGTAAAATACACATGAGCATAGAGTGACTCCACTAAGCTGGGGAACGTCCTTAAAACCATGTAATCCTTAGACCTGATCTCCTAATAGTGACCCTAAACTTGGTAAAGGCATTTAAGAAAATTTCTCGTTAAGATGTAATGTAAGGGTTTTGGCGTCTGGTGGGGGGGGGGGGGGGGTTAATAAGGGTTATTTTCACTGGCCTCTGACCTGAGGGTCTTGGATTGTCTGAGTTTGAGTTTTTTGTAACAAACTTGAGAGCTAAGCGTGGGCTCCTATACGAGCCACTCCGTTTTCTGGCTATATCTTTGTTTCTGCTTTGTCAATCAAGCTAATCATGATTGGAAAATGGACTTTCAGCTTAAGAAGCAAGCAGCAACCCTTGACTAATATTTAGAGGCTTCATGCTTAATTTGTCTTTCCTTTTTCTTATGCGATTTATTGCAGTGGCCTTTCTTGGGAGAGCTTCAGTCTGCTAGTGCTCAAGTCCTGTCAGCTGACACTCATTCTCCCTGAGGATGAGCCTGGTGCTGATTTAACACTAACGTCACCATATTCCAAGAGCTCCTGTTCCATCCCGCTCCCTCTGTCCTTGGCCGGGTCCTTCTGAGTTCTCGTCTGTCACTGAACCTGGGTTTCCCTCTGCCGGCCCTTTATTTACCTGATAACCCTTGATCTGAAAAACAAAGCTATTAAGAGTTCCTACAATATAGGATTATTATAACAAATTAGATCATTTAGGAACACAGTGCCCAACATACAATATGACTTAATAAGCAATAACTTATCACCATCCCTGAAAATGGGCTTCTGGGACTTGTATCTACTACTTCCTAGGAAAATGCTTGAAATAAAAATTATTCCATAGAACCCTGAGCTGATGGCCTTAGCAAAAAGAACAAGAAAAAGGAAAGCAAACAAAAAGCTCACACCGATTGGGTGCCAGGCACGTGCCAGGCAATCTTCTAGGTACTGAACATGGATTAACTCACCTGGTCCTGGCAACAAGTCCACGAGGCAGCACTGTTACCATCCCTGCTCCCCAGACACAGACTCAGAGGCAGGTTACCTGACCAGCATTAGAGGGCCGTGGCTGCGCTGGGAGAGGGTGTGTGGGCTCTGGGGGGCAGTTCTAGTCCATACCAGCCTCTGGGCCGACCCAGTGTCAGAGGGGCTAGTGCAGGCCCACAGGGGAGGTTTTTGGTTTGCCCATACTCTTTGAGCCATTAATCTCACCTCTGGGAATCTGTCCTGAGGAGGAAATCCATAGAGGAGGAACGTTCTGTGTGTGAGAGAGGGTTGTTCTTTTTGTCCTGGTTTGTAGCATTGGGAGGGTAGATGTGCCCTGAATGTCTCCTTGAAGGAAACATATGCGGCTATTAAAAATAATGGTTGATAAGACTGTAGCATAAGGAAGATGCTAATGGCATTATGTAAAGTAAAAAAAGAAAAGAAACAGAATACAGAATATATGCTCAGTATGGTTACAACTCTGTAAAAATCACTTGCATATGAAAGAGACAGGTGGGGAATGTACAAGAGTGGTGGAATTGGGGTGATGGGAGCATCTATGTTTTAAAAATAAAAGCACTTAAATTAGTGATGGCTACTGAAGTGGGTAAGCGGGCACTTCCCACCCTACTTGGGATCATTCAGCCTTTGTGTTTACCGTGTGTGTGTGTGTGTGTGTGTGTGTGTGTGTGTGTGTGTGTAAAGCCAAGTAATCCTTTGGTTAAGGTCAGAGGTAACCTAACTGTTGATTTGAGTCCCTACATTTCATTACGGGGCTGCCTACTTTAGGTCGCTCCCAGCGTCCTATTAGGAAGGGTGCTTGGAACTTCTGGAGTGCTTTAGAATGACCTGAGTGTCCTCTGCCCATGACCAGAGCTCCCACCACATGGCTCATGTTCTCTATAAAACTGTTTGGGAAAAAACCCTGGCTTTTGTGAGAATACCTTTCTACTTACTAGAATCATTCAATAAAGCCAGTTAGATCATTTAAAAACACACACAGCTTTAGTGTCTGTCTAGGAGTGCCGTCTGTTTTGTGGTAATATCCACATGAAATAAAATATCTTTCTTGCGTTTATAAAGGGATTTATTTCCTCAGTTTAAAACAAATCCCACTTTGACAGCCTAATCAACCTCTTTTGAGATTGGTTGCCTTTCTCCATCCCCTCTCATAGTCTAAAGAACAAAACTTAGGATACTGTGAGTAAGCAGTTGCTAGGACATCCCTGACCCTTTACCTCCACACCCAGCACCCAGGCCCTGGGCAGGGAGGAAGCACGCTTTCCTTCCCTAACTGGGCAGCGTTTACACTGCCGTGAGGAATAGTTTCGGGGACGGGCAATGTTTTTGCTTAAATGGTTTTGCCCACCACATTCTCAGGTTGCCTGTGTTAAAACGAGAACCCTCTGTGCTTTATGAAGATGATTCCTGGTTTATTCCCACTCCAGGCCCTTAAAATGTAAGCATCTCTTTTTGCCTGGAATTTCCCAGACATGAACCAGGAACACATTTGCACAATGGAATCTACCATTTGCCTGGGAAGACGGTATGAGGCAATATGAGAGTGTCGGGAGCTCTGGTGCATGTGCCTTCGATACGCTAATGGCGCCGATTCCACCCTTGCAGACAGACTGTGCTCCGCGAAGGTGAAGGAGCTGCGGCGGGGACCGCCCTGCAGCCGTAGCCGCAGTGCTCTGCCTACTAGTCTCGAGCTCAGTCAGACCTGGATGCCTTCTCTGCAGGCCTCTGTGTGATATGTTTGATATATTAGGTTGTTATTTAATCCAACTATATATCAAACATATTCCTACAGTGTCTTGCTCTGTCTCCGGGGGTTCCTAAAACAGTGTATGAGGCAACAGGGAAGAATGTGTGAAAATCACACGTAGACTTAGAAGACGGAGCGCTCATTACATTCCGTTACGCTATATTTCACTTCTTCTGTAGCATTGGAAGCCTGTATCAGCGTTGCTAGATGATATTTTATTATAGAAACAAACCATAACTATTGATGTTTCCTAAGAGCTTGAGGTGTCATGGGCAGCTTAGTTTTGTGCAGTGATGCGTCCTCAAGGGACCCACTCATTGGAAAAATGGAAGGTTCCACCCCGTGTTTGTGACATGAAATAAAGGTCAGGATTGTAACCTCCAAGCACATCTAGGCTTATATCTCATTTTAGTTCATTTTTAACCCGATCTTCACTTTAGGAATTAGTAATTTTCATTATCAAGGTTTCAGCAAAAATTCAAGCACAAATGAACTCTCCGGAGCGCCTTCCTTTCCACCCGCAGTAACAAAATAGATAAAGCCAACCGGCCATGCCAGCTGTCTGCATGGTGAGTCACTGGGCTTTGTGCAAACCCTGGTGAGGGCTAAATGCATCTGATAAGGATAAAGTGGTGTGGACTACACTCTGTCTGTTGAATTTCCTGTTATAGGTTGACTTGTCAGTAGAAATTGATAATATTTAGACTAAGCTGGCAATCAGAAAGTAATTCCATCGCCTAATTGGGTGCAACAGGAAGTTCAGGATTATGAAATATTTTTTCTGGCACATAACCCCCTTCTGTGGTTGACTCTGACCTCCTCCTCGCAGAGGAGCCTGTGAAGTATGTGCGAGTGCGTGCTGATCTCTCAACAAAAGGCTCTGAGCACCGCTTCCTGGAAAGAGAACTATCGTGCTAATAGCTCAGCTTTGGGGAGGAGAAAAGACGTGTTCCTTTAAAGAGCACTCGGGTGTATGTCTGTGTGCAACACCCTCCCAGGTGGAGAGCCAGGGGGTGAGCAGTGGGGCTGGAAGGCTTCTTGGCTCATGTCTAGGCTCATAAATATCTCCAAGTGGCTTTCGGTGAAGGTGTAGCAACAGCAGCAGAGAAGTGATGACACAGGGAAGGACATGCAGTGTTGGGGTCCTGGCTTCGGGAGTTAAAATGTAGAGCTCACTCCTGGAGTCCTTCCCCACTGAGAAGGGACCCATGAGTGGGTGTCAGCAGGAGCTCTTTCAGGCGGTTTTCAAGGTGCTGCCCAAGTCAATGCCAACTTCACCCAGCCAGGGGGCATCGTT